AGAGAGGGCCACAAGTCCTGCTAGCGTATGTCCAGGACATAGTGAGGATGTTAGAGGGCAAGAGAGACGCTCCTGCTAAGTTCATGCTTTGCCTTCTGTAGTTCCAGAAACCAAATCCGTGTGTGTCTCAAACTGCACACCAGTGCCTGAGGCCTCGACACCTCACAGAGGACGTTCTCCTCAGAGCTTATACTCATGTTGACCTTCTTCAGAAGCTAACCACTGGGCTTGCTCGTCTTGTTTTCTGCTCTTCTGAGGGAGGGGTGTTTGTCTGGGATCCCCCTCTGGCCCACCTCCACTCACAAGCCTTGTATCAGGTTGACAAGGCTGGATCTGCTGCTACTGCTCCCGCCCCCCGTCTTTGGCCCCCCCGGGATCAGCTTGTGTTACTTTCCCAGGTAAGTCATTTCTGTAGCTGCCGTGGGAATGTCCCATCGTCATGGGGAGGGGTGGGGGGAGAGAGAGGCCGGTGCAGTGAGGAATAGGAGAGGAAGCCTCCAAGACACCATCTCTGTTCCCATGTAGCTCCCAGTCTTTGAAACATGTGTGAATCCGCAGCTAAGCTTCCCTGGCGTCTGGGCTGGTGCCTGGAGACTGGGCCGCGGCAGGGAAGAGGATATGTGAGTGAATGGGAGGTGGTGGGCACAGGCTGGTACTGGAGTCTCAGGCGGGTACGACCGGGGCAGTTGCTCTCCAAGGCTGAACTCTAGTCAGGGGTGAGGGAAAGGTGAGGGAGGGAACAAGAATGGCCCCGCCATGAACCGCGACCTGAGCAGATTTATGCGCCACGGATGATGCCGGCGGAGGCTGCTGTGCAGCTTTGCAGTCCAGATAACGGCGTGTTGTTTTGGCTCTGGACGTGCCTGGGAAATGAAGCGGGTGATATTGCTATTCCTGTGGAGAGCCATTTATTCTGGGGACGGTGGGGTGGGGTGCGGGTCCGGCTGCCACACGAAAGTTCAGGGCCTGTGTGGACGTGCTGTGCTCCACAGAGCTAACCTTTTGCAACCAGACAGAATAACAATGTGAACCAGCTAGGATATAATGCCCAGTGTTTGCTTGAGATACAAAGGCACAGGGCTTTCACATGAGGTAATACTGATAAGTTACGCTTGCATTCACTCCTCAGCCTGCCAGAAAGCAGCGTGGCCAGCCTGTCAGCTGCTTGCGGGCGAGGCTTGGGCAGCCAGATTGGAGCTAGCATGCAGGGAGTGCTGAGTCGGCAGGACGAGGGCTGCCGTGGCCGCTGGCCGCAGGGTCTCTGACTGAGGAGGACACGATGCTCCCCTCCCTTCTCAGCTCTTGGCATCCCTAAGGGCAGAATCATGAGCATTTTCTGTCCCAACCCGCTGCTGTTCTAACCCTTTCAGTGTGTGTGTGAGGCAGTGGTGTCAAAGCAGAAGTGGGCATGTGTGATGAGCTTTGGGGGGTTTGTGTAGGCATGGCATTTCCCTGGATGGCTCGAGGATGCACAGAGTACATGGCACAGGCTAGAGGAGAGTGGCTAATTAGCCCCTGGCTCACTCTGGTGCTTTGCCTATACAGGTATGTACAGGGCCCCCAGTACCACAGACCCTCACTGTCTCTGATGTTGAGCACCCCTGGGAGGCAGGGCAGTGCTCTCATCTCCACTTTACAGATGGGGAACTGAGATACAGACGCAGGAGCAGGTTTTTAAAGGCATTAGGGCCTAGCTTCGTCTTTAGGCATCTAACTACCTCTAAAAATCCGGCCCTAAGTGTCTCACCCACAGTCACAAAGGGATTCCGCTGAGGTCACTGAAGGCCCAGCCTTGTGCCCTAACCACTGGACCATCCTTCCTCCATCTAGACTCCTGTCTCTTCAGTCCCTTTACGGCTCCTTTGCTATCCTCGTTCAGCAGTTTGACGTTTCCCCTTCCGTTTGCTCTGCTACCACTGCAGGATGGGCTACGGAAAGAGGGATACGTTTCTCGCTAGCCCATCGCATTCTCCTCAACTGTTTATACTGCAGCTTTTGCATCTGTTGCTTGCCGCACGACATTTGTCACGGGCTAGTGCTGGGCCGAGTGGGTGCTTTGCAGAGGGGTCTAGGCAAGGCCCTGGCTCCAGTGAGTCTGCAAGCTAATTTAGACTTAAACTAAGCCATTTAAGACTGAGGGTAGAATTCCACTCTAATGTAAGCAGGGACAACTTCATTCACTTCAGTAGAGGGATCTGGTTCTGAGGTGAGCCCTTTAAGTCTGACCTAAACATTGTACTACTTAGGCAGGCAATCATACTCTCCAGGGTATCCAGTTTGAGTTGGAGAGAACATGCTAGAAAATGTGCCATAGGGAGAAATCCTGTCTTGGCACCTGGTTGTAGCACAAGGTAGGTCTCTTTCTTCTTTCTCCTTCCTGGGACTGATCCTCCACGGCCTTGGCATGTGGTCACTTACAGGTGGACAAAGCACAATCAGATCAGAAGTCTCCCATTTTGCATCCACTTTGACCAGTGTAAATAATGGCACAAAATACAAGGCAAGGGAGATTCAGGCCCTCAGATTCTGATCTTTCTCCTGCTGAATTCACCACCCCAAAAGATCTGGTGCCTATAAGAAATCAGCTGGACTGAGTAGAGGGGCCCAGTCAATTATGTAATTACAAAATGATTAGCTACAATTTTATGCAAAAATATGTCTATGATAGACAGTATATGTTGTTTTCCTCTCCCCCCCGCTTTGTAAGTTTTGTCATCCTAGATCATGAGCTCTTTGGGGTAGGGATCATGTCTCCCTCTTTGTAGTGCCTCGCCCAGGGACCCTGACCTGATCTGGGCCTCTGAGTGCTACCATCATATAAATATTTAATAATAGTCCATAGTACCTCATGTCTTGCCAGGAGACTATTCTGACATCACCAAAGAGGACTCGGTTGTCAGGTGGCATTTCAGAAACAGATGCACTCTTAAGAGAAACTGATCTGTTCTCAGGCAAATACATTTTGGACTTCATCCTGGTCTTGCATACTCTGTCTTGACATTGAGGCAACTCCATTAGCTTTACTGGAGTCACTCCTGATTCACCCTCATGTAAATGAAGTCAGATCAGGTGTTCCTTCCTTAGTAAAGAAGAAAGCTCTAGAGAAGCCCAACTGTTTGTAAAGGTGGAGCTTTATTTCAAAGATTTCCAGGAAGTGTTGGCTGCTCTGTCAGGCATTGTAACACGTACTGTAGTGTTCTCTCAATTATTTCTTCATCGACCACTTGCCCTAGCCATCAGGTATTGCCGGAGGGAATGATGGTGAGATAATCACGCACTGGGGGAATGCAAGCCAATGTGCCAAGCTGGGCTTGGTGTTGCAAAACACCTTGTGAATGAGAGAGCTACCCTATAACCTCTTCACACTTCAGTTGTCACCTGTGAGGGGCAGGGTGGATGGGAATGACCCAGTGGCTGTTGCTGAGATTCCTTGTACTTGAATTCCCGTTGAAGGGTGCTGGCAATTGTGGTGTATTGAAAACTCATAGTTATAGGCTGTTGCTGTTGACTTCAGAGGGCTTTCCTGGTCCTGCTGGCAGGCGAGGGGGCTCTGAAGGGAAGGGTGTAATCGGGGCCCAGCAGCAGGCAGCCTGCAGCCAGACAGTCTAGAGTAAGGTGAGGGGACTTGAGCCTCTCGGTCATAGGGTTCTTGCATGTGACCATTCTGAATTCTCAGAAATAAGGTTGCGTTATGTCGTTTACTTTTTTACCAAACTTCTTGTGGGAGGGTGTGAACGTAACGGAAATCTTCCAACTGGAATGTGAACAACCGTTTGTTTCCCCTCTAAAACCATAAACCAAAGTCGATTTCGTGAACGGTGAGATGGAGAGGAGGAAAAAACTCCAACTCACCACTCCCCTACTGGGCTTTTCTCTGATCTGGTGTGCTGAGACCCCAAATAGGAGATTTTTTTATTATTAGTAGCACTTATTACATTAAGTGCCAGCAATGAGTGTGATTGTGTATGACACAGGAAAACACAGTCCCTGCCCCACAGAACTCGGTCTAAAAGTTTAGTCTATGGACTATAGAACACACTTTAGTGACCGGGGAGAGAAGGGGTGCTGCCTAGCAAGGAAATCAAAATCACAAAGGCAAAAGCCACTATCACCCCGCTTCCTGTGATCAGCCCCCCTGGAGTTGGTGGCCTATCAGGGCACAATGGCCTCTGTTGCTGCTTCTGTGGCTGCTGCCCTTGGGGAGCTGTCCAGCAGACGAACCCCATCCAGAAGCACAGCGTGAGGTCACAGCTACAGACCAGCCCTGGGCAGGCCACGGCAATGCGCACAAACACCCCCACCACCTGGGGCCCCTTCGTCCATTTCCTTCTGCGAAATGCACGAGCGCTCCGGTTGAGCCAGCAGGAACGAAAGTGCTTGCAGCTGGTGGCACCATCTGGTGCTCGTCTGATTCCTGCCAAAGAACAGTTGTCCCCTTCCCCGACAGTTGTGAGGGAAGTTAGAGAATCAGAGAGTGACTCAGTGACAAGGGGTGGAAAGTGAGGGCAGAGGCTCCAACAACTGAGTATGGTTAGAGAGGGTTATTGGTGGTGGTGATGCCAGTGTCCACCCACAGGCATGACCCTGCCTCCCCCAGATGTCTTCCACTTTCTCGGCAACAACCAAGGGTCGAGCGCCTCAAATATCTGTTTAGCAAACACTCCCAAAATCAAATGTGTGTGTGCCATCTCTGCACAGCTGTAGCTGTGCCACGGCTGATCCCCCTTAACCCCGCGCCACAGGCCAATTGCTTTACTTAGGCTAGGCTGGGAGAGAAGGGGGGAGATCCTTTGCAAAGAGAGCAAGTCCCTGCAATTATGCGCCTTAGGGGAGCCTGCGGCATACAGCACCCAGGGACCTGACTGACAGATGACACATGCCCTCAGGCTGCAGTCAGATCTACATGGAGTGGTAGGTGCCCACTTTGTTGGGACCCGGTAGCTGATGCTAACAGGGTTAAGGAAACTTCTTCCTCACTGCCTTGCTTTCTTGTCCTGAAGATGCTACGTCACTGACAGCTGCTGGCAGAGCTCCTTCCCCTGACAGCACTGGACCTGACAGGCTTTCGCTGCCAAGGAGTGGAACCAGCTGTGCGGAAGGCAAAGGTGAGGTACTCGCTGAGTTAACCCCTCACTCACCAGCTCCCCTTTTATAAGTTTTGCCAAAGCTGCTGACCTCTGCAAGGTTTAGAGGCAGCTGGAAAGTGGGGGCCCACACTCCCATAGTGCCTCCCTTTTGTGGCTGCTCAAACCATCAGTTATGTGCAAATGGACACTTGCATATGCAAGTTGGGGAACTGCATGCCTAATCCGCTGAATTTATGCAGCCAAATGATTGCATGTGTATGCAACATAGCTTCTTTGACAACCTGGTCTCACTCACACAGGCTGTCCTTTCAAGTGCAGGTCTCCATCTTCCTCTCCTATCTGTTCCCATAACAGCATCACTTATTGGTAGGGGTGAGAGTGGTGTGGCAGGTCAGGCTTCTTGAACAGATCCCAGTGTTGGAACCTGTGATGAGTTTGCACCTCTTGGACACCTGGAAGCTCCTCTCTCTGCTCTGCCTTCCTGACTCAACACAACCAGTAGATGAAGTCACGCAAATTTCAGTGTCTCATCAGAAAGCCGGGAGGGGTGACCCACAGTTGTTCTGAGAATCTATTCTGGAATTCTCTTCACTCTGGCTAGCTGAAAGTGATCTTTGCCTTTATGGTTGGGGAGTGTGTGGAAGGTTTCTTGACTCCAGTGAACATCTCAGGCTAGGGATGTTGTTTCTGGAGGTCCCATATCAAGACTTCCACTCCAGAATGCGAGTTCCATCTCTCCATGCTGGTGCTCAGATAGCATGGTGATGAGCTTGATATAAATGCCTAGAGAGATGTAAGACAGAATTAGAACAAATATGGCATGCAGCTTCTTTTATTCTTATTTAACCTGTATGTGAATTCTATTGCTGGTGAAAGATGGCAGGCTGGAGACCAAAATCCTCAAATCGCTTCTGGGATAGATACAGCGCTGGACCTCATGGTGCTCCGCAAAAGTGCCTCCACTCTGAGCTAGAGGGGCCCTGTGGAATTCAGCCTTCGTGACCAACTTTCAGCTTTGGCCTCCCCACCGAGACCTCCAAGAAGGGCTCCAACAAGTGGCAGTTGTGGGAGTGGTTTGTGTGATGTGCACACATCCATACGAATGGCACTGAGATCCTCATCTCCTGTTATATGGGGAAACCAAACCGCCATGAGGAGGGAAGAACTTCTAGCTTTCACTGACCTGGGCTTTAAACTGGTGACCATAGAGGTAAGACTGTATTACAGGACCAGCTGAATCCCATTGAAATTAATGGAAAGCTGACTTCAGTGTGTAGGACCTGGCCTCTATAGCACAGCACCAAAGATAACCCTCTGACCCTCTTCCTGGCCAGGCCTGATGGTGAGTTTGTCATCAAGCTAAAACTACATTTCCCTCATTTTTCTGTCCATCTTACTTGTGCCCCTGGGTTGTGGGTAATGACTTGTTGTGTCCTCCCCATGCTGTGTGCCACGGTGGAGGAGGAATTTACTGTGGTGGGGAGAAGGGGTGGTGTTTTCTATTGTCTATGCTGGTTTATTTCAAGGAAGAATTTTCTCATCTTGTGTTTGGAGCAGATTTAAACCCTGTGATGTTCAATTCATACCTCTAACGTGCCTTACAGCCCACACAGTTAGCCTTTTGTTGTAATCCAATCTGCATTCCTGTAGTAATAACTCTTAGCTCTGCTTCAGCTCCTTCCACAGGAGGAGCTCGGAACCCCACAAAATTACTTGATGGAAATAGGAGAACTATCAATAATACAGAAAAGGCAGAAGAGTTCAATAAATCTGTTCTGTGTTTGGGGGAAAAAGACATTATGTCAGAACTCTTTCCATTCCACTAGTATCTTGGAAGGATGTTAAACGGCAGCTACTAAAGTATACACTTTTAAATCAGTTGATCTAGATAACTTGTACCCAAGAGTTTCAAAAGAGCTGGCTGAGGAGTTCGCTGGACCATTAATATTGATTTTCAATAAGTCTTGGAACAGCAGGAAAGTTCTAGAAGAAAGCTAATGTTATGCTAACATTTAAAAAGGGTAAATGGGATGACACAGATAATTATAGGTTTACTGGTCTGACATCAATCCTGTACAAGATAATCAAGTGGTTGATATGGGATTCAATTAATAAAGAATTAAATGAGAATAATGTAATTTATGCCATTCAATATAGTTTATGGAAAATGGATCCTGTCAAATTAACTTTATCTTTTTTGATGAGATTACAAGTTTGGTTGATAAAGGTAATATGCCTAGACTTCTATAGGTCATTGGACTTGGTACCACACGACATTTTGATTTATAAAACTAGAAAGATATAAAATTAATATGGCACAAATTATACGGATTAACTGATAACTCTCAAATTGTAATTGTAAATAGGGAATCGTCATAGAATAGGTGTGTTTCAGCTTGGGTCCTGCAGGGATTGGTTCTTGGCCCTAGACTATTAACATTTTCATTAATGACCGGGAAGAAATAATAAAATCAACAGTGATAAGGTTTGCAGATGACGCAAATTAGAGGAGTGGTAAATACTCAACTGCTTCTCCCTAGGGAGGTCGTGGAAGCTTCTTCGCTGGAGGTTTTCGAAAGGAGGCTGGAGCCATCTGTCTTGGCGGGTTTAGACACAACAAATCCTGCATCTTGGCAGGGGGTTAGACTAGATGGCACTTGTGCTCCCTTCTAACCCTATGGTTCTATGATTCTAAAATGAGTCTCGCAATCCTGCCATATCCCCTTTTGACAATAGGGGAGCTCAGGTACAAAAAAGCTAAGCGCAGAGATATTATAACTGGTAACTCTTCCAGGCTAAGTCCTGTCTCTTGCTAACCATTTGTACTGCACCCAGCACAATGGACCCTGGATCTCAGTTGGACCCTATATAACAGTACTGTAGAGATAAGTGGTCACAGATGGAGCCTGTGGTGAAGTGGGGACTCAAACTTACATCTCCTGACCCTGTCCCATGGTTTAAGCACCCAACCATGCTGTCCCTCTGCTCATAAGTTACCAGTCAAGGATGGAACTGTGTCCTTCACTCCCCATGCCGTGTTGGAGTCATGCAGCACATGTGGTTTGTCAAATTTCACCCGCACCTTGGCGCTCCTTGGAATTCCAGCCATGGCAGGGTGCAGTCCAGCTTTGGCTCTGACCTGTAATGTTGTTTTGAATGTAGTTTGCCTATTGGGGCTTCTGCTGAAACTGTCTGTGTATCCCCCTATTTCTCCCCTCACTTGACAACACGTTCCCCTGTAAAGCTCTGTTTTGCTGTCATTTTCCTTCTGAATAATATGCTTGTCAGAGTTCAAAATAATTACTATGAGTATTACCATAGCTCCTAGGAGCCCCAGTCATGGACTGGGACCTAGGTGTGCTAGGTGCTGTACAAACAGCACAAAAAGATGGTCCCTACCCCACGGAACTAAAAATCAACAGCACTTGAGGGGGCCTGACCAGCACTTGAGGGGGCCACTGCAGTCAATGCAAACCTCTCACGGACTTGAACTCAAGAAGACGGGGTCCTAACTGTCCAAGTGGTGCAATCACCCTCTCTCCATAAGGTTGGGGCTGGGGTGGGGAGGAGGGGAGTGTGTGTGGAAAAGGGCGGGGAGTGTGTGGCGATGGGGTTGGAGTGGGGAGGAGGGGAGTCACCCTCTCTCCATAAGGTTTGCACATTCTCTTTCTGTAGCACTGGTAGAATCTAATGGCCCAGGAAATCAGAGCCTGGGATCTGAATTCTTTTCTCTATTATACCACTGTAAGTGCTGGGTAGCTTCATCAAAAGCTTCCCTGCACCGCCTCTGCAGTGTGTTGGGAAGGACATGGCTGCATCTAATGCTTGGTGGTTTCTGATAGGGATCCTTCAAATTTAGATTTTTGGCATCCCCTATGTATACTCGAATTAAAATGTAGCCAAAAGATAAATATTGGACTGTGAGTTGATGCAGGGTTGTCTGCAGCCAGCGAGACTGAAATAAACTCAAAGGCTCAGATCTTCCAAGGGACTTAGGCCAGGTCTACACTACAGACCTATGTCGGTATAACTACGTTGCTCAGGGGTGTGAAAAATCCACCCCCCTGAGGGATGTAGTTATACTGACCTAACCCCAGGAGTGGACAGTGCTATGGCGATGGGAGGGCTTCTCCTGACACCTTAGCTACCACCTCTCGGGGAGGTGGATTAACTATGCCGACGCTCTCTCATCGCTGTAGTAGTGTCTTCACTCAGCACTACCGCTGTATTTGAAGACAAGCCCTTAGGCGCTTACCTCCTATTGATTTCAGGATCCAGGCAAGAAAGGTGTGAATTGCTCCATTCCTTTGGCCCTCAGTGTAAGAATTTCCTCTTCGCTCCACCTTGGGCCCTAGCACATTGGAGGGAAACCTAGATTTTGTTCTGGTTTCAATGCATTCAGCTGGTCAGCCAGCCTTCTACTGTCTGTCCTTGCCTTCAGCCTACATAGCCCTGGTTTACACTGGGGGGGGAATCGATCTAAGTTACGTCACTTCAGCTACATGAATAACGGAGCTGAAGTCAACGTACTTAGATCTACTCACTGTGGTGCCTTCACTACGGTGAGTCGACTGCTGCAGCTCCCCCATCAACTCGGCCTGCACCTCTTGCGGCGGTGGAGTACAGGAGTCGATGGGAGAGCACTCGGGGATTGATTTATTGCGTTTAGACTAGATGCAATAAATCGACCCCCGCTGGATCGATTGCTGCCCGCCAATCCGGTGGGTAGTGTAGACATACCTATAGTCCATCCCTCCTTAGGGACACACACCATATAGTACAGAGGAGTTGTGTAGTGTCATTTTAAATAGTTTGGGAGCTGCTCAGTGGGCCTTCTTACCTTCTGTTGCAGAAACCACCAGAACCTACCAGAGCAGCAGTATATATATATGCAGCTGAGCCTTGTCTGTTTGTATATAGTTAGTAAACATAGAATCGTAGGACTGGAAGGGACCTCGAGAGGCCATCTAGTCCAGTCTCCTGCACTCATGGCAGGACTAAGTATCATCTAGACTATCTAACCTGCTCTTAAAAATCCCTCATGATGGAGATTCCACAACCTCCCATGTCAATTTATTCCAGTGCTTAACCACTCTGACAGTTAGGAAGTTTTTCCTAATGTCCAACCTAAACCTACCCCTCCCTTGCTGCAATTTAAGCCTGTTGCTTTTCGTCCTGTCCTCAGCGGTTAAGAACAACACTTTTTCTCCCTCCTCCTCCTTGTAACAACCTTTTATGTACTTGAAAACTGTTCTCATGTCCCCTCTCATTCTTCTCTTCTCCAGACTAAACAAACCCAATTTTTTCAATCTTCCCTCATAGATCATGTTTTCTAGACCTTTAATCATTTTTGTTACTCTTCTCTGGACTTTCTCCCATTTGTCCACATCTTTCCTGAAATGTGGCACCCAGAACTGGACACAATACTCCAGTTGAGGCCTAATCAGCATGGAGTAGAGCAGAAGAATTACTACTTGTGACTTGCTTACAACAATCCTGCTAATACATCCCAGAATGATGTTCGCTTTTTTTTGCAACAGCGTTACACTGTTGACTCATATTTAGCTTGTGTTCCACTATGACCCCCAGATCCTTTCCGCAGTACTCCTTCCTAGGCAGTCATGTCCCATTTTATATCTGTGCAAGTGATTATTCCTTCCTAAGTGGAGTACTTTGTATTTGTCCTTATTGAATTTCATTCTATTCACTTCAGACCAGTTCTCCAGTTTGTCCAGGTCATTTTCAATTATATAATCCTATCCAAACCACTTGCAACCTCTCCCATCTTGGTATTGTCTGCAAACTTTATAAGTGCACTCTCTATGCCATTATCTAAATCACTGATGAAGATATTGAACAGAACCAGACCCAGAACTGATCCCTGCGGGACCCCGCTCGTTATGCCTTTCCAGCATGACCACAAACTGTAACATGGTTATTTTGAACCCAGTTGTCCATGTGGTAAGAGCAAGGACACAACACACCCTTAACCCAATGCCTCTCCTTTACTCTAGGAGAGACTTCAACTGCCCAGTCTCTCCCATGCTCCCTAAACCTGATCTCCCAGAACCAGCTCTCCAACCTGACACCTTCAGGATGAGCCTGCCCCTTATTTATCCCTACATCCCTTGCAAGCTTCCTTGGAGGGCCCTGTGGAGCCTATCATACTAGCTTGGCGGCTTAACTTGCTTCAGAGCAACGTGATGTGAGGCCGCAACCTCCCTGGGGCTGGCACTCTCTGCAGAATTCTGAGCCCTTTGGAGGCTGGGGAGCAAGGGACTAGGGCTGGCCTTCTAATCTGTACCTCTCCTGTGGCAAGAGAGAGTGCTAACCACAACCCACGGGGCCTGCCCTTAGAGAGTCTCTCGATTATTGAAATAATTGAGACGTTTAACCTTCAGAATGGAATGAGAGGACAGGCTTGTGCTGCTGTCGTGCCCCAGTGGTGGGAGGCTGATGGGGTGGGGGCTCACCATGGGAAGGTGGTGGAAGAGGTGGATGAGTTTTGTAGAACACTTTGCCGAGCAGCAGCGTTTGGTGGGTGGTGTTGGTTATTTGTATTGTGGAGGTGCCGAGGCGCCTCGCTCACAGACCAGCAGCCGGTTGGGCTACGTGCCGTACAAACACAGAACTGAAAGATGGGCCCTGCCCAAAAGAGCTTTTCTTAGTGGGATTTCTGAATAACTCTCTTGTGTCTGATATCTGATAGCAAGAGACAGCGGCAAGGCCAAGCAGCATGAAAACCAACAGTTGGATCTCGCAGCTCACGGGCTGGGAATCCCCCATGCTGCGGTTTAGGGCTGGAGCAGGAAAGTGGCCCAGTGAAATTCCATTGAAAAGATTCTCTGCCAAGAGCCTGCAGCCTGAGGAGAGTGTGTGGAAGGGCGGAGGTGGGGGAAGTATGTGGAGATGGGGCTGGGTATGGGGAGGGGAGTGTGTGTGGAAGGGGTGGGGAGATGGGTCTGGGTGTGGGGAGAAAGGGAGTGTGTGTGGAAGAGGGCGGGGAGTATGTGGTGATGGGGCTAGGTATCGGGGGGTGGGGGAGTGTGTGGAAGGGGTGGGGAGATGGGTCTGGGTGTGGGGAGGAGGGGAGTGT